TGCGCAACTCTGATTTATATTATCATTATTGTTTAAAGATTCATTAGTACAAAAATTATTATTACATTATGCAATTAACATATCGTTGCTAATACTTTGTTGAATTAATTTAGCATCTCACTTATCTAAATTGTTTCTACGTTGTTGTTTGAAAAAAGTGATCTTATATTTTGATAACACATTTAAGTAATTTATATTTAAAAATAATTTGACAAGTCTTTATATTTTGCATACGTGATATACTTTTTATTTCTTTAATAAGTTTTTTGCAAGATAAATGCTGTTAGAACTGTATTAAATAAAATACAGAGTTATTTTTTATTATAATTTTTAGGTTTTTTTTTACTTTACCTAGCAATTCTAAACATTCCGCAGGCATGTTGTAAAAATGCAATAAGCGTTGTCCCTGTGGCTACCACTGCAAATATTCCTATAGAGATAGCTGCGATTGTGTGGAATAAAAGTAAATAGAAATATTTTTCCTGGTCAACAAAATATTCAGCCATAACCTGTAAGTGACGTGGTCGAGACTGGTTTACCGATAAAATAAAATGAAAGAAAGCCGGCCATAAATGAACGATTATCATAGTAGACAGTCCGATGCCGACCATTACTAAACAATGTTACAAATTAATTTAATTAAATAATGCAGTAACAAATTTGTATTTTTGAAGTATTTAAATTTAGGCACTAATATGACGTTTTATACAACTCAAAATAATTTTGTTCTTAAAATTTTATTATAATAAATTTGTTAATTGACTATAAATACAAAGTGTTACAGAAATAAAAACATAATGTCTTACTTGTAAGTATAATTGTATAACGTTTTGCGTTGTTACCGTATTTTTCTACAATAGCAATTTCTTTGTTGTCTTTTAAATTATCATACATGTGTTGAAGCTGTTCCATTAAGTTTTTCACCTGTTGTTTCAATAAGTTTTATGCTACGAGGATGAATCAAAAAGCTTTTACAGTGTCGTCAATTAAAATATGCAATTATTATGAACATTTAAATAATCAATTTTTTATAATTTCCAAGTTTTTTAGTATATTCTTTCAGTAGCTAATTAAATTAATCAAAATGTAATATTATTGTAATCATAAAAGCGTGTTACTACATTCTGCACACAGTTCATTTTTTAAAATGTTTATTTTTAGTTCGAACACATAATAATTTGATAACTAAATTTATACAGGTTTAAAGAATGTGATAAAACACTATTTTAATGATGGCGAGCTTACAGCAACAGTGCATAGTTTTCTAATAAGAAGATTTTTTGTAAGATTGAACAACTATACTGTTAAATAAAGTATGTTGAAAACCATGGTAGTTATGTAGAAAAAACAGCTATATTTAGATTTCTATGATAAATAAATATTTTGTAATTGCTCAAAACTTATTAAATAATCTTTGTTTATCTCTTAATAAAGTATAAAAAGTTATGAGGACTTGTGACATATAGTTTTATATTTAATATATTCAAAGTTTATTAAAGTGAATACAATAGATATTTAACTTACTGTTTCTTGGTTAACGACAAACGCGCAATATTTTATCACACCCATAATATGAGCAAATACTATAGAGAAAACTTTCAGAAGGAGATTTGCAGTACATTTTGAAGTCATAAAGGTAGTAAGCTGTACAAAAATATTTTTTTAAATAAAAAGTATAAAGTATATTTTTTCACATAATGTGACGCTTTCATAAAAGAAATGTTCATGCAAAATTAATTGAAAAAATCGTCAGCACAAAATGATTTTATAGAAATAAAATTTTGAATAGCATATATAATAATATTGACATACATTAAATATAATAGCGGTTACTACTATGATAAAGAAGCAGATTATCTGAAGTCGAGCAAGTATCGATTTTTTATAAGGCCACAAACCGATTATCAGTAAAAGAATCCTATTGAGACTGAAATATCTGTCCTTGATATTGATCATCACTCTGCTTGCAATGAAACACGTTTGCTACAGGTGAAATCGACAAATTCACTCATCCCCACTTTTTAGTCAGTTGTTATATATTTTCCCTCTCTGTTTTAGCATACAATTGTAATTATTTTAACTTTTATAAATTTTAGCATTTTGTAATTTAATAAATTCTGTAATTCAGCCTAACTGCAAGGTACAATTGCGAAGTATACAAAATACTGCTCGCGACATTCACAATTTAACACTATTCTATTAGACGCGGTTGCTCATTAAATAATCGATGTAACAACAAATGAAATTTAACGGATGTGTTTTCTCACGAGTGGAGGTTCTAGGGATGAAAGCCGCGCAAGCGTAGTCAGTTTTTTTACAGTGTCCCGTATTCATGTGCTTCATTCCAATATGTACATTCATAAGCTACGTTTGAACTTTTGGTGCAATAATATTTTTAAATTATTATTTTATCAATATAAAATTTTTGCTTGTAAGTAATATATGTAGTAACAGATATATAATATTTAAAATTATAATGTTTTGCTTTTTATAATTATTGATTTCTTAATTTTTGGTGCTTCTGCTATAGTGTGCTAAAATTGGATAAAATTTATAATCGTTGTGCAATATAAAAATTGTAAATTTAAACAAAGTTGAAATTGTGTGTGCAACACACTGAAAATAAGGATTAATTCAAAAAACATTTTTTGAAACAATAATTGAAAAGAGAATACAAAATGCTGGATTAAAATTTCAAAAATAATTGTTACTAATTGTAATTATCTAAAAAGAAGAAAATGTGATGCAACGTGATGAAAAGGTAAAATAAAATAATTATTTATTCTTATTTATGATTATAACACATTTTGTAAAGGTGAATTAATTCTTATATTTTGAACAGAATATACTATTA